ATACTTGAAAATATCCAAAACTCGTGACAGAGACTACCGCTGAATCTAATGGTACAATCTTGTTTCTGGGGGCTGCATGATTGCAGGCGTATTGGCAAGCCAGAGGGCGTGCCTGGGGGGTCGCGAGGAACGGGGGAGAGGCGTCAACTCTTGTTGAAGTGGGAGGAAAAGAGGAAAATGCCATTGTCACAGCCACCAATTCACACAAAATACATGGAAATGCGTCGAATGCAACCGATAGAGTCCATATATCAGTCATGACAAGGGAAGGATCTCGTCGTGCGCTCCCTCGACGCGGGCAGAGCGGGGAGGGCCTGTGAATGAGGCAAGATTCGCACGATATTTCCCATCCTCCCGTCGTGTCCGTGTCGTGCCAAAGACGTTTCCTGCCCCGAGGGACGCCTGGCCTGTAGTTACCACACAAAAATACCAGACACGCCCGCACCGTGCCTGACATTACAACTGCACGGCGACATGCGTCACAGTGCGTCCCACGCAGGAGCGGTTCCCGTAACGTGTCCTGGTATGGGGTAACGCAGGCGGCATAAGCGTTGGCGTGGTACGCCCTAATTTTGTGTTATAGTCCGGGGGTCGCTTTTTTAACAACTCGCTCGTCTCGCTGAAGTTTTTTCCTGGGGAGGACATATTGCCGTACATCGGATCCAATTTAACTCCGTGCATGTCCGCATGTGACGATCGAAGCAATTCGTCGACCGTTTATTGCTTCGTTTCGTCATTTGATTACAGTGTTTTTCGTTGTTGAGTTATCTCACTATTTTTTCTACTATTGGCCGAGGTAGCGCCATGACAAAGAAACGCAAAGGAATGGAAATGGTAAATATACGAAAGCAAATTTCTTTAGAGAATTTTGAATCCCGACGCAAAGACTTTTCGGTGCCATACCTGTGGAGAAATACGAGTGTAAAATGCAATCAGCTGTGCACTTTGTATCCATGAGGTGTCTATTGTTGGCTACCTTTCCCACTCACCTCCCTCCGGGGGGAGGATATCTCTTCCTTGTTAAATACAAATTCTGAGTCGCAACCTAGCAAAAAATCCACTTCGGAGTGTCGTATACTTTTTGGGTGGAAAATGGCTAGTCAATCATCTAGGTATCAACATGGAATTAACGCCCTTTATGTCGGTGATCATGATATAAGGATGGTACCGATTTGCTCAAGCCTAATTTCACGTCGCATGAACCAAAATCAAAACGATTAATAATAATAATAACTTAATTGTATGGTGCAGGCCTCCTTTTGATACTTCTATTGACCGGAAAGTATTCTAAAAAATGGCAGATTTTTCATGGCAACAAGCTGAAGACTGCAGGACATGAATACGATTCGAAGTGTATGCCTCCAATGAGTTGACATTAATACATCAAATCATTTTTATGGGTGCTTTCAAATGTAGATAGTCACATCCAATGTCACATTTTCGGATTGCTCATACATCCTCAGACTCTTTCAAACGAGGTCTCCTCTTGGCTACACGTCCAATAGCGGGCATCAAGTACAGTATTGCACCCTTACGACGGTTCTTTTCCAGATAACGAATGACCCCAAACAAGGATCGCGACAAGATCAAGTGATTTTCATTCTACTTTTCCCCCCATACTGCAGCCGTTGAAAGCGTGTGTGATGGCCAAAATTCCTGACGACATTAAGTCCATGCATGAAAGTGAGCATGGCCTTACCCTTCATAGGATTACATGTAATGTGTGAATAAATAATAATAATATATAATAATAGTATAAGCCTCAATTCTCTGGGAGCGATGCATTGCGGGCCAGCCCCCTCGTCATTTTGCTCCCACAGGAGCTTGCCAGGCCGAGGTGTCCTCGATATCACCATACCCGGATGTAGAGCTTCCGTATCAAAACAAAATAATGAAAATCCCAGGCACCTTTCAAAACACCGGATGTGTATAAGAATACATGAAATGATAGCAGGGACATGAATGGGCCCTGTTTGCGTTCTTTGCGACGGCACCTCTTTTTGAACATTTCATAGTCTTTCCCTGGTATGTTGCTCCTTCGCCATCCTGCTTCACTGTTTAGCAGGCTTCGAAGGCACTAGCTCACAGACCTTGGCACCCATGCACACACAGTTTATCTTGGAGTGATTCAACTAGTCAGATCTTGCATGGCTGTAAAACACGCGATAGTCCGTCAGGCTTAGTGTGGCGAAGCTGGGGGTTGCAGCCACTCACCTGATAAACAAAGCTGAGGTAGGTCATTGGGTAACTGGGTGGAACCGGGGGGGCATGGCAGAGGTTGGAACTAGAGTATCTGGAATGGCAGTAACCTATGGGCCCGATTAAAAATCTGGTTCTCCTCGGGATATGCTCCGTGTGTGGCAGTAGAGGTGGAAGGACAGCATCGAGAGGTCCGCAAGCAAACATCCTTGAAGCGACCTCTGTAGCTAGCCGCGTGAAGCCCATGTTGTGCTGAATCAGCCCCCTTCGCATCATTGATTCACATTTTTCCCCATCCTCACATTCTGGGCTCCATGCAGCAGCATGTCCTCGCCCCTCTCCCCGTACTCAAGTACCTTCGATGTGGACCGGTACTCCTCCTCCCGCCGACGTCAGCAACAAGACTGGGGCACTGCACACCCTCTCTCCCCGTCCCAAACTCCGTACTATCTCTCCTACCAGGGAAGCAGCGGCCCCAGCATCCATTTTCCTTTCGAACGCCGGTACTCGGAGTCCCGTCTCTCTCACGTCAGTGCCGGGGCCCGAGCCTCCCCCCTTCCACCACTTTCCCCCCACCGAAGCCCGTCCTACCACCGGTCCTACTCGCTGGGCTACGAAGGCGACCTGACCATGCAAGCGGGGCAGGAAGGGAGCGGCGGAAGGTGTCACCCCGCTGTGCTGGTGCCCTTGCTCGTGGGCGAGGGGCCGGACGGGGTACCGGACTTTGTGAAACTCGAGGAGGAGGCCTACGAGCGGTCGGGGGGGCTCGCAGCTCTGCGGGTGATGGCCACACTCACCTGGGAGGACGTGTCGGCAAAGCTGGAGCGGCCCAAAGGGATGAGGTTGGAGGAAGCGGAGGACGTGGGCGAGGTGTGGCGGAGAGGTGCGGGAGAGGGAGGGGAAGAGGGGGACGGCTGGGGAGAAGACGGGAGCGAAAAAGAGTCGGAGGAGGGAGAGGAGGAAGGGTGGCCAGTGGGAGATGGAGGGAACGACGCCTGGAGTGGGGCGGGGCTGTCTAGGGAGGGGCGAGGAGGAGGGAGGGAGGCGGGGGGGCTCTCTGTCTCGCAGGGGATGAAGGCGACAGGAAGACAGGAGTATGCTGCGCTGGTCGATGGGAGAGGCGAGGCGCTTGAGGAGGAGGAGGGCAATACGGAAGAGGAGGAGGGGGAGGAGGGAGAGGGGGAGGAGGAAGGAGATGAGCCGCTTCCTGACTGTTCTCTCCCTCGCATCAGCGAAGGGAATAGCACCTCGGCACAAACGGATGGCGAGCAGGCTGTTGGGCGGTGGACGACATCCGTGGGCAGCCGTTTCCACCCCTTGACCCAAGCCATGTGGGAGAGGAACATCCAGTGGGGGACAGGTCGAGGGGGGGAGGAAGAGGACGAAGAGGAAGAGGGGAAAGGGCTCGAGGAGGAAGTGCTCTCCGCCGAGGCCTCTGCGGACATCGTCCCGAGCCCGCAGGCAGGGAATGCGCCCGTGAGTGGCGAAGAGGAAAGGGGCCGCGATGGGGGGGGAACGGAGGGGGAGGGAAAGGGAAGGGGAGAAGAAGAGATGGGGGACCTGCGGGTGATCCTGGCGCGGCATCGGGCGGACGAGACACGTCGGGAACGCCTGCGATGGATCTTGGCAGCAAAACGGAGGGAGGCGGCGGCCATGGTTAGTCTGGGCGCAGGGGCGAGAGCGGCCGGGCTGGGCAGTGAGCAGGAAAGTAGTAGCCCGCGGCTTTCCCTCTACGAGAGCACTTTGGCAGAGGAGGCTGAGCGCGTCCTCCAGGCGCCTTTCCCTTTGAACGCAGAGCTCAATGGGCAACGCTGGACGAGAAACATCATTTGGGGGAAGCCGAAGGTGTCGCAGAGAGCTCGGTCCCTCTCCCGATGGCTGCCAGGCGGGGGTGGCGTCAGGGAGCAGAGGCCAGGGCCACGTTCCCAAGCCCCTTTACCATGGGACCGCCTGATCATCGACCGCAACGACCCTCGGATATACTGGGAGACTCCTTCTCTTCCTCGCACCGATTTGCACGCCTTGGGTCTCATGTCGTCAACCCGGACGGCGTCGCTCACGCCCGAAGAACAGCAGCGACAGCAGCAATTTGGCCGGCACCGGACTCTGCAAGTCCCCTCCATCGAGCACGCAGAATGCGCCCTTCGCCACGAAACCACCATCGCCGATCCCGCCCGCTTGGTCCTTCCTCCCGACGTCCTACGGTCTTTCCACCGGCCCCGCCTGCCCCTGCGCCTCCAGGATTTGTCTTGGACCTTGCGAACGCCCAAGGACAAGAGCGGGCAGGCCGGCGGGGGCGGCCGAGGGGCCTTGGGCCGGGGGACATCCCATGTCGACCCGGACCATCCGGACCACTAAGGACCTCAATGCCTACGAGGGGGAGTTGGTCGTGGTAGAATACCCGGAGGAACGTCCGCTTTTGCTCTCGAACCCAGGCATGGCCAGCAAGCTCCTCAACCTGTGGCGGTTGTCCCCTCAGAATGTGGAAGCAGAGCGCGCCATGGCGCTGGAGCGGCATGCGGCTGGGCTGGGGGGCGGTGGCGGCAAAAGTCGGGGTCCGCCGCGGATCACACGCGAGAACCTGGGCGCGAGCAGCGTGGCGATGGACTTGGACCGGGTGCACGCTGGGGTGCCCGATTTCAAGGAGGGACAGACCTGTGTGCTGTATCCCGAAGATCCCTCCCCCTTCATTGGGCAGATCGAGGACGGCATGCGCCAGCTCGCCCTTTTCAACAACCTGTACAAGGCCCCTCTCTTTGAACATAAGGCCAAGCCGACGGATTTTTTGCTGGTGCGGAGCCATCCGAAGCATGTCCGCGAGCCTCTCACGGGAGAAAGCGCGGGGGAAAGTGAGTGCTACGCCGTACGAGAGATTCCTCGGGTGTATTTGTCGGGGCAAATGGAGCCGTTGCGGGAGGTGTTCCATCCCGACGACGGACGTTTTCGGGAGTTTCGGGACCGCCTCATCAAATTGGCCCTGGTGGTCAAACTACATGGAGGGGAGAGGGGGGCGGGCATGGACAGGAGGGTGAGCGTGATAGATCTGGTGAGATTGTTCGACGGTTTGGCGGATTATTTGCCCGACGCAGGCCCAGGGCGGGACAAGGAGCGAGAGAAGGCTGTGTTGGTCTTGAACCAACTCAAACAGGTGGCGCATGAACTCCAAGGGAAGCACACGGAGAACCATTGGTCGCTGAATAACGACGTGGTGGTGGAGGACGTGCTCAGGGAGATTTCCCCAGAGGAGGTCTGCATCTTTGAAAGTATGTGCAGCGGCGTGCGACGCTTGCTCTCGGAAGGGATCTCCATCGTGGGCAGGGTGACATCCTTCGCCCCTGCTAGAATCGAGCCCATCTTGGCGAGGAACCTGCAGTGCTTGTTGCAAGATCGACAGGCGCGGGCGGAGAAAGCCCGGCGGTCCGCCGAACTTCTGAAGGGGGGGGAACGGGGTTTGGAGGCAGAGGAAGTCGCTAATATGTTGCAGGTCCTGTACGAAGAAGTCCGACAGTTGATTGCGGTGGGTGCATATCTGTTGGATGAGTTGTACCTGGCCCCCTGGAGCTTGACCCACTTCTACCATGCCATCACGAATGAGAAGGCCTATGGAGGCATTTTCAAATTGACGGGCTTGGGCGATCCATCGGGCATTGGCGAAGGCTTTTCCTTCCTTCCCCGGCACCAACGGGAAGCGGGGCGGTCCTTCAAGGAAGTGCTCCCTACGCTCGATCCGGCCTTGCAGGAGATCATCGGAGAGACCCCGCCAGTCCGCATGGGGGTGGCGATGATGAATAAAATTTTGACACATGTATGGAGCGTGCCGCATTTACGGCGAATCGCCCAGCACCGCTTGTCCACGGCCGGGTACGGGGCGGAGTTCGAGGAAGTGATGCAGCTCACCCGAGTGCCCAAAAAGGTCCGTGTGCAAGTAGTCTTGGATGTGGACGCGGGCGAGGGGGCGGGGGGGGTCCGGGCGGGGATGTTGGAGTACGTGGCGGCTTGTGACCGGATCTGGAACAAGCAGTTAAACGCATTGACGGACGAAAGCGGGGCGTTTGGAGACGAGGAGGGGATGGCCGGCATGGAGTTGGACTTGGATGATCCCGAAGGCGCTCCCGAGAAAGGGCAAGGGCAAGGCTCGCGGGCGGGCTGGGGAGGAGGAATGGAGGGAGGGGGCAAGGGTCCTTTTGAGACGGAGGCGGATGCCTTGACTGTGCAACGAGAGTTGGCGGAACGGGCGCGCATTTTGGCCGAGCAAAGGCAGGAGGCAGAAATCGCGCGGCAACAACAAGCGCTCATGGCTGGGGTGGCACTACCAACCTGGCAACGCCCTCGGAAGGTGGTGAAGAGGTTGATCAAAGAGACGGACGTGGACGGGACCGAGAGGTACCGGGTGGAATTTCTGTTCCAGCCAGAGGAGGTGGAGAGAGTCCGCATGCAGCGTGCGGAGGAATTGGAGAAACTCAGGAAAAAGGCGCGAAGGGCGCGAAAACGGGAGGCGGCGGGGTTGGCTGTTGGAGAGGAGGGACAAGCAGGGGAGGGAGACGAGTGGACCGTGGGAGGAAATAAGCTGGTGTTGTCAGTCCAGGGCAAACAGAAGGCGAGCAAAAGGAAAAGGGCGTCTGTGACCCTGAACATTTCTTCCCTCAAGAAGATGGCCACCGAGCACAAGGAGCAGCAGCAGCAGAAGAAGCGTGCTCAGGACGAAGAAGCGAGGATGCTCTACTCGAGGCAGTACCTGAAACTGGGGGCCAGAGGGAGTGAGGGCGCGGACAGGGAAGGTGGAGAAGAAGGGGCAGGGGGAGGCAGTGGGTCTTACGGGAGGAAAACGCAGCGGAAGCCCCATTTGCTGTTGAATCTTCAGTTCGACGTGATCTACAGTGGAGTGGAAACAAAGCCGTACGCCAAGCCTTTCAAAAGGCTGAGAGGCCGTGGGATGGACCTTGAAAGGGTGAAGAAGAAGATCACAGATTACAGGTACGAAAGCCGCCAGGAGCTTTTGGACGACTTTGCGACGATCGTTCGGGAGACAGTGGAGGCGGAGGAAGGAGGGGGCGGGGGGGTGCTTCTGGAATATGTCAGGGCCGTTCAAGCGGACGTGATCGAAGGGGTCAGGAGTCTGGATGAAAGTTCCATGGCAGCTTTGGAGGCAGAAATCGTGGTCCAGAATGCAACTTCTATCCGGAGGCAACGCAAGGCGAACAAGATGAAGGGTGGACGGGGGGGAGGAAGAGGTAGAGGAGGAGCGCGCGGGAGGGGAAATAAGCGGGAATCGAAAGGCGAGCTCCAGGTGGGTGGAACAGAGGGAATTGCGGGGGGCAGGGGCATCTTACTGCCCCCTCCCCCTTCTCAAGAACCGCCACCGGTCCTCCTCGGGCCTCTCTCCCCTCCGCGGGGTATGGATGGTGGGTTTGGAGGGAATAGGGGAGGGGAGGATCAGCCCTTGATATTTGTGGGCGAGGACACCGCAGGAGGGGGACAGCTGGCCCCTTCTATCTCGTTACCGGGCGAAGCATCGGATAGCGGAGAAGAGGAGGTTCTCCAAATCGATCAGTTGTGAGGGGTGAAATGAGAGAAGAAAATGGGAAAAGATTAGGCAGTGCTTCGCACAATGACTCATGCAAAAATAAAAGATTATGTTTGATTGAGGCTTGAGGAATCGTCAGGCTACAGTCGAAGTCATGTATCATGAAAATTGGACAGGAAACGATACGAAGTCATCGACCGTAGCGCCTGCACAAGAGAAGTTTCGTTAATATTGCAGAGGCCGATAAGGAATTATTGCACGACAATGTGAGGAGTATGCAGGAGGTACAGGTCAAATATGGTGACTCGGTATACTCTTTGAATACAATTGTTCAAATTACTTCAAACTCCCCACAGGAGCGTCCGCCCTCGCAGATGTTTCGCGAATTATTTCCCGTCGATGATCGCAGCACGCAATCATCACACGTAAAGATAGCTTTGTCAATGTATATCTGCCAACGGCACTTGCCAGATGCTTTTTCTTCAAACATCCCAACTTCATTTCTGTACATGTCTCGGCCGAAGTCTTCCCTTTCTCCGATCTACCTCCTTCATTGCAAACCAAAACCTCGACACTCCGAGATTGCTTTCATCAAACGCTCCTTCAATTTCTCTTTGCTGCCATATTCTGGTAACAAAAGTGTGTTAAAACACGTATGGGCTGTAGGCAGATGATCTGAATCGGGACCCGCCCTCTGAATTAAGAGAGCAAGGCGGCCTAAGCCTCCAATAGGGGCCTTGGCGCTCCCCGTCACGAACATTAAGAAATTCCGCTGTGACGCCAGGTCCATCTCATGAACCACCGACCAGAATGCTTTGATCACTGGATGCTCTGCCTCGTACCCGCCCTCATACTTGGCGACCGCCTCAAGTTCATGCAAGTTCAGATGAGGCGTACCACAAACGAGAAGCATGAGCTCTTCCGGCCGCAGCAGGCTTATCGACGAGCCACCCATCACGTGGTCATAGCCTGCCTTAAAGGCCTCGAAGGGCTTTGCGATCGATTCCGCTAGGACCCACTGCACGTACAGGTCAACATACTCATGTCGGTTCGCCGCTGTCACCTCAATATCTTTACCCCCAGGCTTCAATTCATGTCTCTTCACCTCGTCAAATTCCACCCAATCCACCTCGAAATTCAAACAGAAAACATCCTCCACCTTCGCCATTGCTCCCTCCTCCCCGGTATTCTTTGCGTCCTCTTCGTAGTCTAACAATTTTAGCAGCCCCTCCATAAGCTCTGGCTCTATTTCTCCTAAATCGGAGAGACCCACCGGCCGACCGAGCAGCTTCTTGTAGACGACTAAAGGAAAATGCAAGTCGAGCAAGACAGAGTTGTACAGGGCAAGCCCCACCAGTATTCCAACCAGTTGGTACTCTTGCGGATCTCCGAAGGAGGTGCCCGATGAATTAAACCACCAATCCCTCTTACTCTCGGTCATCTTAAACATGCCGTAGGAAAAATCAAAAAGTTGGGCCGTCAAGAGTTGGAAGAACTCCTTCTTCACACCCCCCTCGTCCACTCCCTCCTCGTCCAGGAACGACACTTTGAGCTGTTTCTTCAACGTCATCGAGTCACACTGCCCAACTTGGGCCAGCGTACTATTCAATAAATGGTTCCTGTCGACCCGAAGCACCAAGTAAGGCATCACCGGACCACCTTGAAACATTTGTCGCATCATGTCCTTTTGAGCCGCCTGCTGCTGCTCCAAGACAGCTTCTCCGTACAGAAGTCGACGCTTTGCCTCCGCACTCAGTAAGAAGGGGTAGCGGCAGAAGGTGAAAACATTTCGATTCATATTCTTCTCTTCCTTCACAGCCTTCCACGTCCTCAAGTCATGTAGAAGCGACTCGTCTGGCAAAGCGGAGACGGCCGTGTTTGCAAATTGATCCGGCGATATTAAGCGCCCACGTTGTTTGTCTTCTGTCTCCCACGGGCCCGATGCGGTGCTTGTCGTTTCCCAGCTTCCCCCTTCGCTCGCCATGAAGAGATAACTCATGGTCACAACCAATATTGGCACGGCTCGACCTTTGCCAAAATTGATACGCAGATGATACTCAATGTGGGTGTGGAGAGGCCTTAAAAGTCGGGTGGCGAACAAATGCGGTGGATAGTCGGCACGAACGAAGCGCAATAGTAGCAGTCGCCCGGAAAGAGGTAGGCTGACGACGGTCTCGCAGAGCTTGAGGAACGTGTCCTTGGAAAGGGCCGTGTTGCTGTTCAGGGGGCACTGCCAGTAGGCCAAAAGACAACGGAGGGAGTCGGGATCTGATAGATTCTTCGCATCCGAGACCAGGTTGTCCAAGGCCCCTGACATGGCCTGCATCAGGCGAGAGAGGAGGGGCGGAGAGTTGAGCTTCATTGCTCGGACGTAGACGGCCTCGAGGCCCTGCACAGCCAGACCCGAAGCACTCGCGCTCAGTGTGCCGCAGCTGCTGCTTCTTGCGTTGCTCTTTTCGCCAGCCGCCCTCTCGGCACCACCCACGGGAGCTCGGATTATGTCGTCGATAATCTTGTTGCCAACGTGTGAGTCGGGAAATATACAGCCATTGCCGTCCAACTCCTCCTTGTCCACCCTGGAGGACGACGTAGGAAGCGTCAGGAAGCTCCCGTTAAGTAAAGAGGGGGACGAAAACACGTCGATCAGAGTGCGCTCCAAGGTGTCCATGTCCGAAGCCCGGGCGGCGCCGTGAATCAGGGAAAGGAGATAGCCGACGCCGACACACGAAGCGGCCGGCTTGATGACACTGAATTTCCGCACCAGCTCCCGCGCATCGACATCCCTCGAAAGGACTGGGAGTTCGGATCTTCTCGACGGCGTGGCCACCCCTGTCCCCAGGCCTACGGCGAAACTTTGCTCCCCCCCCGCGGCCACCATAAAGACACGTGCTTTGTCCAGGCCCGGGACCCTCTGCGCCCGCCATTGCCACGCCGATGCCATGGAGGAAGCCCGGGAAGGCATCCCCGTTCCAAGCTGACCGTGGCTATTGGAGCCCAGAGACCAAACTTCCCCCGCCTCGGTCAAGACCAGGGTGTGTGCATCGCCACAGGCCACCATGCACACTTTCAGGGGTTCAAGCTGCCGTACCAGCGTCGGGACGTGATAGCACGACGCAGCAGGCACGCCGCCGTCTATGTCTCCGTCTTGTTCATCCCCCTTCCCTTCTTCCATTCGATCGCCTTCCCCTTCGATCCTGTCCCCGCCCTCCGAGCTGCCCACCGCCTCCGTGCTGGGCAGACCCAGCTGCCCTCGGTGGTTCTTCCCGCAGGCCCATACCCGTCCGTCCTCCCCCAGGATGACCGAATGGAAGGCTCCACAGGCCGCCGAGCGCACTCCCGCCGTCTCCAGCACTTGCTGAGGCTCCTGCACTACCTCCACGCCTGCGCCTGCGCCCGCCTGCCCGTGTCGATTTTGGCCCCAGGCCCACAGCCTCCCCGTCACCGTGATG